TGAACAATAACAACAACTACTACTACAGTAAGTTGGTAAATTTTAGGTCAGATGTGTCAAAAAAAAGCACTGACTTGTAGCGGTGTGAGAAATATGGCCATACTGGAAAGCTTATCCTTCGGCATTCCCATGCCAATCAATTTTAAACCCGTAATGCCATCCGTTGCCGCAAAAGCGAACTGTAACAATCAGGATCTTTGAATGCTCCAAAAAACTTCATGCATGCACTAGTCAGCTGCATTCTCCAGAACTCAGCATTCTGCTCAAATTTCCCCCAACTGCTTTCTCCTAGCGCCTTGGTAAATATTCGCCACCGTCAGTACGGGCTATATATACTGATGTTCAGATACCAGGGGACCGCACTAGCGGTAAAAGATGCATCCAACACAAAGCATTTTTTTGTTAATAGTGGAAACCCTTCTATTTCCAAAAGAGCTGGGCAGCTATCCGACAAAGAAGCTGACTTAAGCAGCACCAGGCTAGCTTCCACATGAGATATCGCGACTACCGAGATCGCCAGGACAATCAGCGCGGAAACCGACGCTGTGATGCGTTCACGTCCTAATAAGCATGCAGAATGAGTTTTCAAGGAATGCTTGAATATCTGGCCCATCCTAAGAGACCTATGAGCCCATTTATTATTGTCTGTATCAGTTCAAACGAGTGATAGAACATATGCAATTAGATTTTTGTAGCTGTTGTGCTTGCAAGCAGAGTGGCAGTAGTACAATGATTTACCTTTCCGGTCAGCAGAACAAATACCATCCAAATCATCGGCTTGAGCCGCAAAATCTTCCACAAAATGGTATACGTCTCGACAATGCCAAGCTCCAGCTCCTCAACATTATCTGCTTCCTCACTGAAATTAGTGCCCGTTAATGTAATATAACTGCGCAACTGTACATGACCTTCGAAGTGCTGCGCAAATTAAAAGAACAGAGCAAAACCGGCATGGATCACAGTTTGTAAGGCCATCAGTAGTGTAAGCCACAAACGAAAAAGGGATGAGTCCCAATCTCTTCATTATTTCATTACTTTCTACACCCAGTATCTCTAAATTAAAATTTTTGCAAAACCGTCAAGACTCCTCTGACATCCGATGTGAGGCTAAGGATCGTTGAACATAGCTATACCAAGTTCTTTGTGTCTGAGCTGCGTACCTCCAGACACTACCAACCCCCTAATCGATGTATATGAGCTTCAGA